TAGGTATTTTGAAATGTTAAACACTAGGGCTTAACATTCACAGAGTTTCTTTCATTGAAAGCAAAATACTTAATTTGCATTGTTGTGTGGAAGGAATACTTTTGATGTTTGGCTTACGGATTCCATTTATATGGGAGAAAAATGTAATGGCTTTGAGTTTTGATATTATTCACTCTAGTGCAGGTGGTGACAACATCTCTGTTACAAAAGGTGTTGTGTCTCGAGTCGAACCCACACAGTATGTTCATGGCGCTACCCAGCTAATGGCTATACAGATAGATGCAGCTATTAACCCTGGGAATAGTGGTGGTCCAGCAATCATGGGAAACAAAGTAGCTGGTGTAGCGTTTCAAAATCTTTCAGGTGCTGAGAACATAGGGTGAGTCGGAACTATAAATTTTGGGTAATTCTTTAGCTCCATTTGGAATAAAAAAGCAATGTGATTGAACAAGAGTGAAACAAATTTTCCTGATCGAATATGATTTGTGTAACATGTGTTTATTTGCCGCACCTCGAAAGATGTCTGATTTCACTGCTGTCTCCCAAATTTGAGACTCTGATCTTGGTTTCCTAGATGTATAATAGTTGAAGTATGGTATACATGTTTTGACATGCTAAGGTTTAAACTAAACATTTTGTTTGATGGTTTCAAATTGCAGATATATAATACCAACACCGGTAATTAAGCATTTCATTACTGGTGTTGAAGAATGCGGTAAATACATCGGTTTCTGCTCAATGGGTGTATCATGTCAGCCTATGGAGAATGCTCAAATCCGAAATAATTTTCAGATGAGTCCAGATATGACAGGAGTTCTTATAAGCAAAATAAACCCTTTATCGGATGCTCACAGAATTATGAAAAAGGATGATGTTATTCTTGCGTTTGATGGTGTTCCTATAGCAAATGATGGAACAGGTATATTTTCCTTTATTTTCATGAGCCTCAGTGCTGAATTTTTGCCTACTTTGTTGGTGAACAGTGTTTTCATGTACTGCAGTTCCTTTCCGGAACAGGGAGCGGATCACTTTTGATCATTTGGTTTCTATGAAGAAACCAGACGAAACAGCTTTGGTTAAAGTCTTGAGGGAAGGAGTAGAACATGAGTTTAGTATCACTCTAAAACCGGTAAGTTATTTGGTCAGACTATTAAAGATATTACTAACTAAAATCACTGTATGTAGTTTTCATTGGTTCATATTCCATCTCTAAAATGGACAATCATTTGTTCTTCTGAGCTTAACAGATCTATGTTGCTTGCAGTTGCAACCGCTGGTTCCAGTGCATCAATTTGATCAGCTTCCAAGTTATTACATATTTGCGGGTTTCGTATTTGTACCTCTCACTCAGCCATACCTTCATGAATATGGAGAAGATTGGTATAACACTTCTCCTCGCGGATTGTGCGAACGTGCATTAAAAGAGTTGCCCAAAAAAGCCGGTCAGCAACTTGTCATTGTCTCTCAGGTTTGTGCCTTCCGTTTGCCTAGTTCCTTTCTTTAAGTACCAGATTACAACACCAATTTTAGTGACTAGACAACTTCCTTGAAGCCAAAACAAATATTATCTGCCTTTTTACCACAATTCTAGTTCTGTTCAAAAGATTTTCTACTACAAACTTCATAAACTTTTTTACTATCCTCTGAATTCGGCTTCTATTTACCTCTGTTGAATTTCGAATTTTCAACAGAATAACAACAACGATGTCTTGTCATTTTGGCATCACACTGAAATATAAGTCTCTGGTTGATAGGTGTTAGTGGATGATATCAACACAGGATACGAGCGGCTCGCAGAGTTGCAGGTAATGATATATATGATCCAATGGCATCATGATTTATTGTTGCGCCTTAACATGGCATACAATCTTGAAATCAGCTAGTAAAAATAGCCAGTTGAACAATAGCGGAATATCATATGATTCTAATAACGGAAAACATGAAATGAAAAACTGTTTTTGTGTTGGAAACAGGTGAAGAAAGTGAACGGAGTGGAAGTGGATAATCTGAGACATCTATGTCAGCTCATAGAGAACTGCGACACCGTGAATCTGAGACTGGACTTAGACGATGAGAGAGTAATCGTCTTGAACTACCAATCCGCAAGGATTGCCACTTCTTTGATCCTGAAACGACACAGAATAGCATCTGCGATTTCCAGCGATCTACTGATCGAACAAAATCCAGCTACTGAGTTGGCTTCTTGTTCTGCGGTTTGAGACAGAGCCCACGTAGATCGCATGTTGTACACTTCAGATTCTTTCATATTTGTAAACCACAATGTTATATGTTCGTAAACATGTAGGATTTGAAAGTTAGCTTTTACGAGCATGAGTTAGGTTCAGTAATTGAAATTCTTTTATAGAAATCTATGTTTTATCCCAAAATTATATTTTCCGAGTTAAAAAGCTATTAAATCATTTACGGCTATTGCTCACCAAATAAAAAAATTAGGAGAATTTATTATGTACTATAAATTAATGAAATAGGCCAAACACCTTTTGATCGAACATCAGTAACGCATGTGACATTTTGATGACACTCTTCCTGGACGACCAAAGCAAACACGCTATCAAAAGTTGGAGATGGATGCAAACACAAGATGTTAGAATGTGTGGTCCCAAAAACGACTATTATCCTGCCT